ATATTGATTCTATTTTTTTCTTTCAATCATTCAATCACCATGGAAATATCCTTATTTTTGGAACATTTGAAGTGCAAAAAATATCACAGAATCCTAGGGACCTATCTGTCATCTATCATCTTAAATAAAAAGGTCTCTAGAATATTATAGAGTCTTAACAGTAAAAGATTACAAAACTTACCATAAATAGCATTTTTAAGCATAGTTATTCTGTCTGCTTTTGTTAGTTACAAACCCTAATTTAATCTTGAAATAAAGCTTACAGTTGCGGTTAAATCACTAAAAATAAAAAAAGAATTACATATATTGAAGTGTATATAATTAAATATATACATTGTCAATAAATGATGACATGGTGTTTTTTTCAAATACAATCAGTGGTTTTATGGACTTTGAATTATCTAGGTTGATTTGAAGCTTTCTGTTGCAATGGCCATATGATGTAAAAGGCTGAATGTATAGATTACTCATATATAAATAAAGACAGTTATATATGGTTCTGCATTTATGCATCCCATATGGAAAGTCATTATAATTGTCCTTGTTTAAAGCATTATAGCAACAAAAGCTTTGAAAATTCTTAAGATCTGTTGATAATTTATAATGATTTTTGTTAAAAATGTGTGTTGGACGTGAGCCAAAGACAAACATTTTTTGTGAGCTTGATAATATAAATTAAAATTGTGACAATAAAAATACTTTACAAAGAATAACTTTAAAATGATTTGATCCTGCAGGATATGCACTAGACCCTTCCATAGACAATTATGAAGTGTCTACTAAATATATTGGATCTGTAGAAGAAGCAGAAAAAAATCAAGGTAAAGGAACACCAAATATGATTTTCATTCTTGATTTCATTATTATCTTTTGTTCTGTATTCTTGCATTCACAAACTAACAATTAAGCATTGTATAAACCATCACTGTTTGATGGATGAGAAAACATGTTGACGACAGGGAGTTGCTACTTGAGTGTTTCAGATATGTTTAAAAATTTTGAAGAACATCATGAGTGGCCTCAAAAAGTATTTTGGGATGGGGATTAACTGTCACCTCTAGCACTTCTTCCTATTGCTGTAGCTTATCTTTATTTTCTGGGCAAGAAAAAAAAGATAAAACTATTCTATTCTATTCTAAATGATAACATTTCTAATGTAAATATTGGGTTACAGGTAGTTATCACCATTTTTATTTTCTAAGAATCTTTATTCAGTTATCTCTTAATGTTACAAATGTGCTACAAGGAGAAAACTAATATGGAACCTAATCATAGCAGAGCTTGGCAGTAGTGTATGCTATAAACTTCATTGTCACAAACCTTGGCAAAACTATTTGGAATTTTATTGGCTATGTAGGAGAATGAAATAGGGATTATCGTGAACGTGTTGTCCACAAATCAAGCTTGATTTTGTGTGAAAGCATCAATTGTTATTTCAGGAGGCAGAAGACAATTCTGTCATCCTTAAAGTAAGGGTTGCGTTCAAATCCAGACATAATCTTTTGCTATTGTGCCATAGGTTTAACAGTGTTTGAAACAGGACAAAAGAAAACAGAGAAAAGGAAAAAATTCAAAGAGAATGATGCATCTAATATAGATGGCTTCTTGGGACCTTGGGCAAAATATGTTGACGAAAAGGAGGTTGCAAAACCTTCTGAAGTGAGTACCCTTCATTTTTTTATTATTTTCAAGTATAAAGAATGGGATGAGCAAGTCCCACATTCTGTTTATGACACTTGTTTATATATGCTGTTGTACTCCTATTCTTATGTTTTGAATGGGAGAGTAGCTATAATTCTGTATAGCACCTTGGTGCTGTGCAACTGTTTTGAATTACATGTCCCGCAGTTCATTTGCTTGCCATTGGCCAGCAGATGGAAGTTAGTCTAAAATATTTGAATAGTACTATGTTTCCTAATCACTGATTTTTAAAAAGTGTNCTCTGCAAATCGGATGTTTCCATAATGATATATATAAGAGTCCCTGCTCTGAAAAGTCATTGTCCTTATTTTTGGGGGAGGAGCGCGGCAATATTTATAGCCATTCCATGAGACTAATGTCTCTGATCATTTTTATGGAATAGTTAATAAATACAATTTTTAAAAAGTGTCATAAGGAATGAAAAATTCTGTACCACAAATGAAAAGAATCCCTCTTTATTTTGGAAAATATCTTGTAGAATTCATGGCCCGCCTTCTAGGTTCAGGGTCAATCCATAGCATTGCCTGGAAGTAGGGAGAAAGGCCCATTCTCTGAAACCTATGAGATCAATTGAGAAAATATATTGGAAGCTCAAATATTTTTGGAAAATAAAGATGCCTAATTCATTTTGGAGAATTTCCTTTTCCTCCTTCGGGTTAGTTTTAGTATCCTATATAATAAAGTAAATAAATCAACACAAGTTGATTATCTGTGAAGCTTGAAATATTTTAGTATTCCTTTTAATGTGATGTTTGTAAATGAAAGAAAAAGAACAGCAGGTTGTGTAGAATGTGTGTATTCTATCTATATATTTTTAAATGTTTCTCATATATTTACATACTACTTACATTAACATTTATATTTTCTGGAGGTAAACAGTTGAATATTACTCTGGAAACAAACTAAGCAATAGTCTAGCAATTTGTTTTCACAGTTTTCAGCAGTAGCAAAGAATGTCTCCATGTACACTGACAATAAAAGAATTTGCCAAATGCTAGGAGTTAGAGAAGGCATCTCCTCTGTCTCCAAGAATCCAAGCTTCTCTACACAGGAATGTGCTCCTACCTAAATGTTGCAAGAATTGGACAAAGGCATCATTGTTCAGTTACATCAAGCTAATAAAATAAACTAGAATGTTGGCCGCAAGAAACAGCAGGAACTAATACATTTGATTCACCCAAATCCTGGGCTGTCTTCCCAGCCTATCTTTGTGGAACACTATTGATTGTAAAATAAATATTGTAGATTGTAGACAGAGAAGGAGAAGAGATCTGAGCTTCAGTCTCCCCCTCTTTTTTTGCACTTTGCTTTTTTGTGAGTAAGTTGATTTATCTCAGAGAGCATCAGAGCATGCTTTGACAATTATGTATTCAGACAGAAATTATTTTAAGCCCCTGAAAGAAGATACAGGATAGCAAATAAAATAGCTTGTATTTGCTATTCCAAAGATAGGAAGGTGATATTTGTTGAGGAAATTCAGTTTATAAGATTTTGGCTGACAGATGATGATAGAGCAAGAACAGGCCATTTTATTTTTTCCAGAATCAGAGGTTTCAGTTTTGGCCTGATTGATAGGAGGTTTATTACTGAAGTCACTAATGAGGTAAGGATGTCAGAGGAAGAACCAAGGCTGCATTTTATCCCATTGTTAATTGTGGGTGAATTAAGGAGGATATAAGAATGAGGAACATCTATTTTTTTCTTTCAATCATTCAATCACCACTAATTTCTATCCTTAAAATCTTGAAATCAACTTACCAACATGCCCATATTTCACTGGAGACCATTTGAGGAGATGCGAATTGAAGTAGTTTTCAATCATCTTTTTTTCAATTATCCCACGTGCATGTATCTCATGATTAGTAAGTCAATTAATGTAGAATGGATATAATGACAGTTAAATGGATAGTTAGCTTGAACATCATTCAAAGAGTGCTCATCCAACTGTATAAGGGGTATGAAGTGGAATGCCAAAAGATTCAGTCTTGATTTCATGTTCACCGTGATTCATACTCTGAAGCAATACCTAATCACTGAAAATGGTATTTCTGTTTAAATGTGTGCTGACAGGAGGGGGAAGGTACATCAATCTGGTGACATGATCCCTTTTGATTAATGTTACAATTCACACTCTGCAGTGTGAATAGATGAGTGTGATTGGAATCCTGCCATAATTTTTTTTGTTATTTGTAAGCATTTTAAAGACAATCATGCAATACCAGTTATATTGATTCTATTTTTTTCTTTCAATCATTCAATCACCATGGAAATATCCTTATTTTTGGAACATTTGAAGTGCAAAAAATATCACAGAATCCTAGGGACCTATCTGTCATCTATCATCTTAAATAAAAAGGTCTCTAGAATATTATAGAGTCTTAACAGTAAAAGATTACAAAACTTATCATAAATAGCATTTTTAAGCATAGTTATTCTGTCTGCTTTTGTTAGTTACAAACCCTAATTTAATCTTGAAATAAAGCTTACAGTTGCGGTTAAATCACTAAAAATAAAAAAAAGAATTACATATATTGAAGTGTATATAATTAAATATACATTGTCAATAAATGATGAAATGGTGTTTTTTTCAAATACAATCAGTGGTTTTATGGATTTTTTGAATTATCTAGGTTGATTTGAAGCTTTCTGTTGCAATGGCCATATGATGTAAAAGGCTGAATGTATAGATTACT